TTTTTTTTTCAATTTTTTACAGGAACACTGAATGACCAAAAAAAGCACCAGCCCTAAGTTCATGGTTATATATATATATATATAAAGTATAGTATTTCAGTCTGGCGAGTAAACAAAAAAATTTACTAGCCAATGGCGATTCAATTGCCAAGGTGTCCGTAGAGGGTTGAAGGATTACATTTCCAATCATTAGAGATAAGCAGACCAGTACCTCTGCTTACCTTTTACGACGTCCATGGTTACTGTTACATTACTAAGATTGCGCCGGTGTGTATAGCCTGCCGTCCGCTGCCTGTTGTGCTTACACGTCTGCTTGTTTTAATGTATTTTATATTAGCCATTTTACAAAATATTTAGTCACTTTTAACCTACGATCGCCAAACACTGCTTGGCATTAAAGCCATCACTGAAGAGCTATTCCGTGATGCTAAGTGTGGTGCACAGTTTGCTCCTCCTCTGGTGACTATACCTGAGTATCTGCGCCGGCTGCCTGGTCCTCTGCCGGGAAGGAAGCGCCGCAAAAGACGGGGTTTTGCGGTCAAGTTCAAGCTCCTCCTGTCCGAATCAGATTTTCAACCTCGCACTGGCCTTCACACCTACATGGCAGGGCACGGCCGCTTCATAGCGGGCGCGCGTTATAACCACTGTATGCGTGGAATATACCGATTGCTGGGGATCCGCTGGATCAACTTCACCCCGTCTGCGCCGAGGTGGCGTTTGTATTAGTCACCTCCGTTCGCTTTCTTCAGAGCGGACCATTGAGTCGCGAGAGATCAGGATGTCATTGATTAACGCCAGGTCAGTGTCAAACAAGATGGTTATCATCAATTACTTTTTAAATTCACGTACACTAGACTTTTTGTTTATCACGCAAACTTGGCTTACTCCAGGGGACCTGAGCACGTTTTCTGAACTGGTACCATCTGATTGCAAATTCTTAAGCTCTCCTCGCTCTGTGGGTCGAGGTGGTGGACTGGCTTCTATTTTTAAACAGAACTATTGTTGTCGGATGTTAGCGACGGATGTCTATTCCAGTTTTGAACTACAGTTATTTGTTTTGGAAATGGATAATCCGATGGATCTCAGTTATTTATCGTCCACCTAAACCACATAAGGACTTCATTAACGAGTTTTCAGACGTTTTAGGGGGAATTATCCCCAATTTTGATAGACTTTTAATCCTTGGAGATTTTAATATACATGTGTGTTGTCCAACTAATCTCTTAGCCAGAGAATTTTTGAGCCTTATTGACTCTTTTGATTTGGCACGGCTTGTGAATGTTCCTACTCATGAACATGGTCATGCCCTTGATTTAGTGCTTTCTCATGGTTTGTCAGTACATGATTTTGCAATAGACGACCATGCTATCTCAGATCACAAGCCTATTACGTTCAGAGTCCCCACAAATGTTAACATTACTAGACCTACCAAGGCTGTTCGTTGGTCTCGTATGATCACACCAACCACTTGTACTGAGTTTTCAGCTGTTTTTAAGGAGGTATCCCAATCATCCGACTTAGTTTGTGATGATTGGAGTGGTGTTGACTATCTTAATCATTTTAATACTATCTCTGCTAATATTTTAAACTCTCTGGCCCCTAAAAAAGCCAAGCAACACAAACCAAAGGCTGGGTCCTGGCTCAATGATGATACTCGTGCTCTTCGACAGGGCTGCAGAAGGGCCGAAAGAAGGTGGAAAAAAGATAAGCTGCAAGTTTCTTATGAAATATTAAGAGACAGTCTGATACAATACCAGAAAGCGGTGAAAACAGCAAGGTTTAAGTACTTTTCAGATTTGATTGAAAAGAACTTTCACAATTCAAGAGCACTTTTTTCCACTATTAATGCGGCTATCAACCCTTCAGGTGATCTCTTCCCTACAGAGTCCACGGCTATATGTGACAAATTCCTTAATTTATTTGTGGACAAGTTAAGGGATATTAGGCTAGATATTCCCTCTCCTTGTCAAGATCCCTCTGTCCCTCCACTCTTTACCAGCATCTTAAGTCAGTTTGAGCCTGTAACTCTGCCTGCTCTACAAGATATTGTAAGCCAGCCTAAACCCTCTGGATCCTCCGATGACATTCTTCCTCCTCGATTTTTTAAGCACATTTTTGAGGTGATTGGGCCTACTGTTCTTAAGATTGGGATAGGGTTAGGGAACCCTGAACAGCTGCCTTGAAATGGCAATGGTTCCAGATGACACGAAGCACGCCATTGTACATCCACTGCTTAAAAAACCTAATTTAGATCCGACAGTGTTGACTAATTTTAGGCCAGTCTCAAATCTCTCTTTTATGTCTAAAATTTTAAAGAAAATAGTGTTTCACCAACTACAGAGCTTTCTGTTTAATAACAATATTTTCAAAGTGTTCCAATCCTAGTGTGGAGTCACAGTTAGATTATTAAGACTTTACAGTGATAGTGATGGTCTGTGGTGATGAGGGGCTTTAATCGGCGCTGTGTGTTTGTACAGGACTGTCTGAAGCTGTTCTCTAAAGAGGAGCGTTTGACCGACAGCAACCGCTTCTACTGCCGCCACTGTAAGACGCACCGAGACGCCATCAAGAAGATGCAGATCTGGAAAGTTCCGCCCATTTTACTCGTACACTTGAAACGGTGAGTCACGTCTGCAGCGCTCCAGCGCAGGGCTCTGATGTCCCGTAAAGCAGCATGTGAAAGGTGTTTGTGTGTTTGTAAGGTTTAAATACGACGGCCGGTGGAGGGAGAAGCTGCAGACGCTGGTGGATTTCCCGCTGGATAATCTGGACCTGTCACAGTACGTCATCGGACCCAAACCCAACCTGAAGAAGTACAGCCTGTACGCTGTGTCTGTGAGTACACAACCACACACACACTCACTCACTCACTCTCACACACACACACACAC